AATTGTTCATATTGATGAGTATAGCAGCTTTACAATTTCAGTTAATTTTGAATGTGGTTTTCTGAATCGTTTCTTCAACAACACCGAAATATGCTTCTTTAGGTAAAACTCACTGTTTAATTTTACTTTTAGGAAAGGGAAAGGTGAAAAGAAGAAAGAAAGCAAAGTTAAAAAATAACTTCAGCACATTTTTCTACGGTGTAGTTACTAAAGCTTTTTCTTCCTCTGTTTTTAATAAGATCCAGGGTTAATTCACAGTCTGGATTCAGATACTGATGTCTAAGCAGTAGCATATAGGTTAAAATCTTTGCCATCAGTTTACTATGGCTTAAATACAGATGTGTTCCCTTGCAGCCATGTACAGCTTTTCTAGAGAAATAATCTAGAGTGTGGAGTAATGAGGTGTGTCACCTCAGGACTTTTACTTTAGCTTAAAGTTAGTTCTCCCCCATTGCAGCACCTCACAGAGGTTCTGCATGTAGTGATGGTCAACTTTAATTTCCATGGATATCTAGAATTTTAGTGTAAGTATATTGAAATCCACTAGGATTTGATCTTTTGAGCCAACCATCAAGTAGGCAAAGGTTATAATTTTGGATTGTTTTGGAGTATTCACAGAAAGGAGCTCTAAGGGATTCTAATTTGGTAAAATTTGAAGATGTATGCATTAAGAGAACTAGATAAAGTATTAGCTTCGTATTTTGGTTCCCTCACTAAGCTTATTAGACTTATTTCTGAAATCTGCCTAGCTGAATTTGTTGCTAGGATTTTAGCTATGTTTTAACTTGAGTTACCATATAATTTAAAAGAAATGCAGAGCAGTTCTATTCCAAGTTCATTACTAGCACTCCGTAGGATACTGGTTTTTAGAAATTAACTAAACTGTCTTAGGTTAACTAGATTGACTTCAATGGCTGGCTTTGAAATCTATCTCATTTTTCTGCAGTTCAGTCTAACAAATACCCTACAGACCTTAAGTGTAAGATTATACAACCCTAGACAAATGCTCCAACAAAATTTATCTTCTATAATTTACTTGAGAACTTTCAAGTGGTGACTCACTGCCAGCTGTAAAGTTGCTGTGTCCAGATGCCACTTTTTAAAACAGGCGTAAGAGAGAGCAGCAGAAGCCTTGGGCTAGAAAGCATCTTGAGGCAATTATGCAAATTTCTCATATAATACAATAATTGGAGACACCATATTGCATTCAGCACCACAATGCGAGCCAACAAATGTCACTAAATGCCTTTATTCCCAAAAAAAGCTCATTGATTGATTGATTGATTTTTAACAGCTTTTCATTATTATATTTGGAAAATATTTATCAAGCAGAAAAGAGATGTGAACCCACACTGCAGAAAGGGTGTTGAAATCCCATTACATTTTTATTTGATTTTTTTTGACAGCTTGCTTTTCTCATGTTAGGAGAAGAGAATGGGCAGTCCAGTTCACTGATTGTTTCTGGCTACTGAACCTTTAACATGGAACTTTCAATTAGGGCAACAACTGCTCGACAGTCAGCTGCAGACAGTCAGCTTTCTGATTCTGGCTGTGGACTACACACACTAACAGATGATTCTAGTTACTAGCCATCTTTTGTTAACAGGGGTGCTCTGTGTCAAATACCTAGGGCTTTTTATAGATTCTGCTCCTCCTTTGACTGTCATGATGCCCTTTATGACAAAGGAAAGCACTGGGAGACTCACAAGGCACTTAGTGAGGCATCACCTTTGCATAAATTACTCAGTTTTCAAGAACGTGTTCCCAAACAAGGCAAGGAAGTTGTCAGGCTCAATCATTGATGAACCTAGTTCACTTAGGAAGAGAGACATATAAAAAGGATTCCAGGAAACATTTCTCCATAGCAAGTAGACGTTTTTAATGCGACCTTTCTGAAACAAAATATTTTAAGACTTTTAGCTCACCTGAAGCAAGCTTGAATACGTGATCACTGATGGAGGCAGGAGGATGGGCAAATTCCTATGTCCTTCCATGGGGAATGGGGGAGAACTAACAAATACTCTACTGAATTCTCTAAAAACATTAGTCATCTGTCCAATGATTAATAATTTTATAATTCTGATAAAAACAGGATAATGGATTATGCCCCAATATTTTGAATAAGGTATTTTTTTTCACTTTTCAGAATCATAATAAAGTCATGGTTTTAGAGAAATTAATGTATGTAATTGCAAAAGATAATTTTTACTAGTAAAATCTTCAGAAATATTTGTAGTTTATAAGACATGGAGCCTTCATCTCTTTCTGATCCTAAGTGAACTAACATGCAAGAGTTGCCATGATTTAAGAACAAACCTATCTTTAGCAGAAACCATGTATTTGCTTTTAAATATCATTGTTGAATGTGTCCACAAATGCAATATTCACTCCCAGTGCAAAGAAACACCACCAACTGGACCAGTTTTTAAATGTTGCCTCAAATTAAGACGGCATAAAATGCCTGAATACTAATGTTTCTGCAAGGGAAAAATGATGCTTTAAGATACTTTCCCATGCAGTGTATGATACCAAAACTAAATAGCAAAGACCGTGTTCAAAACTTGCTGTGAACGATAGTAAAATAGTTTAATTTTTCCATCCTGGTTTGGACAAAATGCCATCCAACACTGTAAACAGCAACACAACTGAAATTTTTCACTTCCGTAGTTTAAGACACTATTTAAAGGTGGGGTTTTTTATTGTTTCTCCAGGATAGAATCCAGGAAATAGGAGTATTTAGTATCACCAGATTGTCAAACAACTGTTTACATTCCTGTTTTTGAAATTGTCGTGAATATTTCTGCTAGAATATAACTTGACTGGCAAGTTAAACTCAGAAACAATTGCATGGCTAATCATGTGTGGAAAAAATAATTTTAAAAATCCATTTCATGGTGTATGCCCCAATTTGTATTGGCAAATAATTAAATTATTTCACACTTCTATTTCCTTAATGCATATGGAAAATGTGTTTCATGGTTCTTTCTCTTTTCTATATAATTATCTTTTACTAAGTGAATTATGTGGTGCAAATTATCAACTAGCTGTTTTTATGCATTCATTTAGCTCCATCTCGTTCTTTTTCAAATAAATGAGAAGTGTTTCATTCAACACGAAATTTTGAAAAGTGATAGTTTTCAGACCTTTGTCAGGTAAAAAGTACAATTTACTCATCAATTATACATTCTCATATCTTTCAAAATTAAAAATAAAAAAAATTATTTCCTATCTTCAGAAAATCAAAGTTCCAAATAATACATTTTTTAACTTCTAATCAAGTTCCATTTCTGCACATCTATCACAGATTTTATTTCTATAAGTATAAGCACTGATCCTTAAGACTCATCTACTCTACTACTTTTTGAAGGGAGGTCGTAGACAGGTGAGGGTCGGTCTCTTCCACTGGGCAGCAACTGGCAGAACCAGAGGGCACAGTCTCAAGCTGCGTCAGGGAAGGTATAGGTTGGATATTAGGGAAAAAAATTTCACTGAAAGAATAGTATGGTACTGGAATGCTCTTCCCAGGGAGGTGTTGGAATCACCCTCTCTGGATGTGTTTAAAAAAAGGCTGGACATGGCACTTGGTGCTATAGTCTAGATTCTGAGCTGAGGTGTTAGGACATAGGTTGGACTTAGCGATCTTAGAGGTCTCTTCCAGCCTCATTATTTTGTGATTCTGTGATTCTGTGATACTCTAAATTGCTTTTTTTTGGAGACAATAGAAGCTTTTCTCAGCTTGTCCCTTTTGCCTCCTTGCAAATTTTGCTGTGAGTTGGATTTTTTTCCCATTAAGGTCTCTCAAAATACTCACATATAAACTGTGGATTTGCTCGTTTTTGTGTGTTTGTATCTGAAACGCAGGAGTACGAAAATATATATCCATATATATGTACACATTAGGCCAACATTTTCTGAGATGCATTTACTTTTAAAATGACATTTTAGAACACAGATTTTGTATTTTCTTTTTGTTTCCTTTTCTTTTTATTCTTTTCAAAGTTCTTTTTATGATAGTTTTCTTCAATAGAGCATAATACTTTTTTCCTATTATTTTCTTATACAAGGATAGATTTATTTTAGAGGTGACAGGTAGTTCTTTTATTAGAATGAAGATTTTTTTTTTTTTGTCTGATTATCTTTTCTTTGAGTTAATAGTCAGAGCTGTAACAGTACATTTTTAACAAGGAGTTTGGTTCTCATTATTCTTGTATTTATTATGGAACATAAAGGATTTGCTCTGTCATCAGTGTTTGTTCATGGCTGCTTGCCTTCCACTTGACCTTCAAAGTCAGTTAACCTGAAAGGCATGTCCAAAAAATCCCTGTTGATGTGTGTCCAAAAACCGTGTTTCACTGAATGAGAGCAGTTCCGTGGAGCACTTGCAATGAAATTTGTTTTCTGTGTATTACATAGCACTAAAGAGTCTTTGAGATGGAGAAAATAATTTAAGACCCATTCAGAGTCTCATTTTCTTTCATGGCAGGACAGTGTGTGCCATGTTGGTTGCCCTTAATCAGAGCTAAATGGTTATTTGTAGGGAGTTGTTAAACTGAAACACTTTTTTTCATTTCCTTGCCTAGTCTATTCCTGCAAAATATGAAGGTTACTCCTTTTTGGGCTTTTTGTGGAACAGTTGGTCAAACCTGAGTTTCTTGTTGCCCTTAGTCTTCTATCTTCACTCTCTCAAACTGGTTCCTGTACAGGGAGTTTGCCTCCGTGGGTAATTTGTACAAAGTGAACATTGTGATCTGCAGCCCAGCTGCTGTGCCAGGCCTGAAATGACAACAGTTCCTGTCCAAGAAACTGACAAGAGTAAGAGGTGCTTCCACATTGCAGTGTGAATTTACTCTGATTTACTGGATCAGTAGGATGCCTTGAGTGGTTCAAAAATCTATCACAACATAATTCATAGGATCAGACATGTATGATGTTCTACTGCCTTTCCATTCCCTGTGTGCTCCATCTGACATTTCTTTTTGTTCTTTTTCCCATTCTTGCAGTCACCTAATGCTGGAGACAAGGATGACCAAACGTTGACGGTAGGCAGCAATTATGCATCTGAGCATTTGTTTCTCAGGAGGGTGCTGAGGCAAGCCTTACATTGGTTTGCAGTGCATCAACATTTTTCTACATTTTTCTAAATGGCTGGGATTTCTTTCTCCTCCTATACTGCTACAGAGTTTAAATAATTTATTTCCAAACATAAAGCAGTGAATTAATCTTCTTTATTGGTTTCTATAATTTATCACTTTGCATGTATATGACACCAAAGCTTAATCCATGGATCATTGCCAAATATTATTTTCTTCAGTGTTGGTTTTTCCCTCTAATTGGATTTCAGGGTCTTTCTAGTCAGTAGTCTGTTGGCTCTCACTATACTTTTTATTGAAACAAACAACCACAAAACAGTCTTACTCTGTGAGATATGTATATATAGTGAATTGATTATTGTACTAGACAATTGCATGGGGAACAGAATCTGAGTATGTTTTGTATTTCATTACAAGCATGCAAAAGGTGCTTGTACATTAGATTCATTGCTGTAGATGTCTGTACTGCCTTACCACGCTTTCAATCTCTTTTTGCCATGAGACTTCAGTGAACCCAGCCAAAGCAAGGAGCATGTTTCTGACTGAGGGCCATTAAAAAAGAGTACTACTGCCCTTTTTCTCCATAGTTTTGATCATATGCATATTTGCAATGTATTGAAGTAATAAATGTTATAACTTCAGGTATTCCAGCAAAAGGTTCTACAAAGAAACAAATTGTTAATTCTTCCTGATGCAAGTATGAGGTTTTCATTTTCTTAACGCTTTATGAGTTTTCACAAAGAAGGATTCTTTTTGCCATGTTTTTTTCCTGAGTCCTGGGAGACTAATGACTGTTCTGACAATCCATCTCCTCCAGAGAAATTATCTATAGTTATGGCAATGGGTGATAAAGTCTGTAGTTTAACATAACCTGCTACAGGCGATAGTTCAAAATGTTACATTGTGCAGTGAGGTGTGAGATTAATTCATATTGTTTCAGACATCTTTCCACACAAAAACCAAAAAGACCCTAAATTCTTCACTGATTTTTTTTACCCTAGACCAAGCCACGTCTCCAGCGGGGAGGAAGCTCTGCATCTCTCCACAACAGTCTAATGAGGAATAGTATCTTCCAGCTTATGATTCACACACTTGACCCCCTTGCTGAAGGTATGGTTTGGGGTTTTTTTTGTCATCCCTGGTGCAAAAACAAACAAATGCTTTGTTTTCCTTTCTCTCCATGAAACTGTTTGTTGCATATCTCTTGCTTTAATCAGTCTTTTCTGTATGTGTCTGGAGACACATTTTCTGAGAGAGTTCCTCACTTTTATAGTGTGATATACCTGCTCCCACCAAGACTTTCAACTTAGGAAATGTGTTCATTACAGTAAAACTAAAACTGGTCACTTGGTTGATGCATAAGTACTGATTCTCTTCTCTTCTGGTTTCAGCAGCAACTAAAAACTACATGAACTGTATTGTCCTGTACTTTCATAAAGATTTTTGTTTGTTTTCTTAGCTGGTTTTGATTTTATTTTAAAAACTGTCTCAATGGTGGATAATTTGTCATGTGCACTGTAGAAAAGAATGAGAATCTGTTGATTTGACTTCAGGTTGTTTAATGCTGGCATTAATAAAAATGCAGCCACCACACCTCTGTGTTACATGTGTGTAAACGGTTTATTTGTTTTATTCAAGTGTGGCATGATTTATTGTTTCTCTGACAAATTAGCAAGACCACTGCTTTGACCTGAGAAGCTGGCAGGAAAACCATATTGGCTTTGTAATTGTGGGGAGATCTGACTCTCAGATTCTTGTAGAAGAACCAAAAAAAATCAAGGCCATGTTATTTGATATCTATGCATCTATAGGACTTTGCTTGCTGCAGTAATAGTTGTCTTGAGAAATAGCAGTTGTGAAAGAATAGGGATGTTCTAAAGAGACTAAAAGATTACTGACAGACATTTCAAACTTCAGTGACCAAAAACTATGTATAGCACTTCACATGAGCATATATGACAGATTGAAGACTACAACAAAACTAGAATTGTTGACTGGAGCACAATTTGAGCCTAATGTAAATTGAGAATAAGATCATCTCTCAGGTATTTTTCCATTGCTCAAGCTTATTTCACTTGTTTCCCATACATAGCTTGTTCAGTGTTCAGACCTCTCTACTTTTCTGCTGTAGTAAGCTTGCACTGTGTAGTGTGATCCAGAGGCTTCCCCCTTCACGACAGTGAAGGACAAAAGGGGTTTGAAATCTGAAATTCATCTTGAGAGAGACAAAAGCCCTACACTTCTGACAAACATATATTGCTTATAATTAAGTTTGTCAAGTACCTCAATTCTGGTTTTCATTTTGTCAGTAAAAGTATTGATACAATTGAAATGATTGATTGATTGATTGATTGATTGTGGACTGATAGAGATGTATGCAATGCATAAATCTTACTTAAATTAATCCAGTAACATTTTCTTCAGGGTTTTTTCACATGTAGTACTTCACTGTTGACAGATTTTTTCCTTTCCAAAGTCTTACATTTGTCCTGGAAGTAATACTCTTTAAAAAGACTGGGAATAGAAATATATTCTGGCCTTCAAGTAAGTGCAAGGCAGTAGCCATTTCATTATCTGAACATTTCATTACAACTAACACACTGCATTAAATTTACAAAGGGGAAAAAGAATCTACCTACATTTACAGTAAGCTCTGTATTTTAATGCAAGACTTCCATGAAAAAATGTCCAAAAAGCTGCTGGGAAATAGCCTATGTATATGCAGGTATTTAAGTTGGTATATATAAAGAAGCTAGTATTTCAAGCTTTTGCTGACTTTACAGAATTCAAACTTTAGTTCATGAGAGCATGAAAGTGCAATTCATTCAATCACTTGTTTTTGTATATGGAACTCTGGTTTTAGCTTTTTATAAACAGACTTGTGACTATAGGAAAAATCTGAAAAAAAATGCATCCATGTTTCTGTCACACATTATTAACCTTTTCTGAGCACCACCTCATTTGTACACAGACTCTGCTTTCAAGAGCTTTTGCACAGCAGGCAGTTTTAGGGCAAACATGGGGAGTACTGGATGTCTCCACTGACCAATGTTGTTTTCCAAGATTTTGACCTTTTGAGTGCTGTATTAATTATTCTGCATTCAGCTTATTCTGCAAACTTTCATGAAAGAAAAAATCCATTTTATGTAAATACTGTGTCAGCTTGAGGCAGGTAATGCTAGTTAATACATTTGGATGTCATTGTATTTTAATCTTACATTCACTTAAAAACTATGTATGCAAATGGATGTGGGTACCTGCTGTATACAATATTAATTATCTACATGGATCTGCATGAATTTTACTGACCAAATTCTCCCCATCTTTTTGTGTTTTAATCTGTGTATAATGACATCAAAGAACCAATTTGTGCATCATCTTTATTTTAAAAGTCTTTTGCCATGCCATCTAAGTAATTTTTTAAGCTGATAGCATTTAATTATTACAAATTGAAAGAAATAGTATTTATTAAAAGGCTGAGAAATCAGTCCTTTGCTCTGTAAACATATTATCTGGGGAGATGAGAAATGTAAAAGAGTACCTGGTGCCTTCTCTGGCCCATGTGGCTCTCTCCAATTTACATGTCCTTTCCTCTACGAAAAAGAACTCAACAGTTTTGAGTTTTGTGTAAGGAAAGAAAACTAGCTCTTCTGCACCCATGTAGTGAGTGATGGTGGACCCGCTGCATGACCTGTGGGGTTAAAGGGTTTGTTCCAAATAATTTGATGAAAGTATGGATCAGACTCAAAGGAATAGCAGAAAGATGTTATAAAATTTTTCATTCTTGCTTTAGTCAGCTTACATTTCCTCAGTATTTTTGCCAGATGATGACTTAGATCAATAGGTCAAAACCATTGCATCACTTGCTGAATTTGTTGGATTTGCTGAAAAAGAACAGCTTATGAGAGCATTAAAAAGTGCCACTCTCAAATAAAAGAAAAGTTTGAAAGGTGCCTATTAAAGCTAACATATACACGGGGACTCTGGCAGCCCCTGCACTCAGGCGTACTCCTGATGTCTTCCTCCTTCTTGTTGCCTTTCCTTTTTCTGCATTTCTCTAGCATTTACTTCTTGGCCTTTCTCATACTGGATCTCGCTCACCTGCACCCACCTTCTTTCAGCCTTCTCCCATAAGGTGGTCCTTCAGCCCCTGCTGTCTTTCTGGGTCCGTTAGTCAGATCACTTCCCAGTCAGACACCAGCAACACTGCGGCTGTCACAGCCAAGTCAACTGTGTTTTCAGTGGCAGGAAAAGTGTGGATAAAGTTTGGGAGCTCTGTGCTTGATTCTTGAGGGCTTCTCAATCAAATATTGCCTTTAGAAGATACATTTCTAATTTTTGCACTGCTGCTGAGAGATACAGCTTTTCTTTCTCTTTAAGTCAGTAATAAAATTCACTGTTACAGTCCCTTGAACAATTGCAAGGGAAATGGGGGCATCAGAAGGCACACTGCACTGTCATTTGGAGTTACGTGCATTTTGTAAGGGTGACAGAGAAGAAGTCCCATCTGTATCCTCTTGGTAGGGAAAGCTGTATAGAGTGTATAAACAGGCCATGTGACTGTTAAAGATCGGCTTGACCTACACACCATTATTACTGCATTAACATTCAGTGTATTTATAGAAAACCAGCTCATCAAATTTACTTCTGAATAATTCATTTGTGAAGTCAGAACCAACTTCTACCGCAATTGAAAGCATATTAAAAATGCACTTGATTGCAAGTAGGATAACATTAAATGAGAGAGTAAGATTTACTTTCCAAAACTGTGAATAAACAGAGCAGTTCCAAAATACTATTACACACTTTTGAACCTGTCCTTTCTTTTCCCTTTTCACATAAATGTGGCTTTGTATGGCTTGTGCCTGTCTTGTAAAAGCCAACTTGCAAACTCTCCAGAATCAGCAGGCTTGCAAGGTGTTCAGCCCACCTCTGACAGATGAGTAATATCTGAGATCAGTGGGAGCTGCTGGATATTTGGCTCTTTATATTCAGACAGGTGTGCGGTCATGCTGTGGATTTGACAGTCTAGACAAGGAAGGCTTCTCCCCTTCAAAATCTTGGTCTCAGCATAAAGCTTCTAAGAAGATAAGAGTTCAGCCACTCTAGCAGGTGAATGTGTAGGATGTTTGTTAATGAGATGTGAATTTTACATTACAGCTGAGACATCATAATTCATTAAAAATATAAATATCTGTATGACATTAGGTATTTGTTTGCTTTTATCTTATTACAGAAATAATGACCTTGATAGACATAATTTCCTGAGGATTAAGATTAATGACTGCCTGTGTTTCTGGCTATCATCAACTCTCAGCCAGTCATTAATCCCCAGGAAATCCTATGCCATATTTGCTTCTGCTTAAGTGCTAGTCTTGCAATCCAGCTGGTCTGCTCATAACAACATTACCCGTATGAATAAGGATGGCATCATCTGACCTGCTGTGTTGGTCAGACCCCAATCCAAAATCCAAGCAACCTGAATATAAATCTTGACAATCATTGATAATTTGTAGCTGTTTTCTTCTGAGTCCTGTACCTCAGATACCTTTGCCCTAGTTTTGAAAAGGATATTCCTGGGTTAGGAAAGTGTAGGTTTTACAAAGATCTCTTTACATTTTTTAATAGAAGATGGCTGTTGTTTTGCAGTGGGAGCAGGGCAAGAATAAGATGGTAAGTATTTTTTATGAAAGTGTGCCATGAATAGTAATCCTGCCTTCTCCCTATAAGCTGTAGGTTGCTGTAAAGATGATTTCTTCAGAAGTGGAGGGAGCATTTTCTCTCTGGAGGCTTCTACAGCTGCTCTGTTGAGCAGGGAAGATACCAGCACTGAAGAGAGGATTTAGAGCCATCTGAGACTACATTGTTTTTCTTGCACAGCTTTATCAAGATACAGGAAGAATGAGATCTTTTCATTGGCATAGCACCCCTTTTGTGCCTGCTGATAAGGTGCCACAGCCCAGCAAAACATCTCCCACAACTGAGGGTTTAGCTAGTTGCTGACTTTCTTGCTCTGTGTGACAAAGCTATAACTCATACGCAAATGACATCCTCTGCATGAAAATGGGTGTGATATAAATCTCTGTCATGGCTTAGTCCCCAGTGAGAAG